TATTGAATGCAGCTGATGCTGAGGTCAGCCCTGGCTGCTTCTGTTGTTTATCTGGCTTTATGCAGGCCAGGAGCTGAAATGCCACTGAAGCCTGGATGTTATCTCCAGGGAGGAAAGGTCACCCCAAGACCAGGTCCCACCCTATAATTGATTGTCCTTTGCTAGACACCCGAGACTCTCTATCCTGGTGGCCCTTATCTGGCTCCTTATTCTTGACCTTGCTCTGCTCCTGTCGGCCTCAGTGCCTACCACACTTAAGCATAAAATGCATCGGCATGCTAGCTGTGGGTGAATATGAGGAAGAAGTCTGTTCTGAGAAAACCCTATCAGGTAATGCAGTAACCCTGGGTTCTCAAAGCCACCTCTGTGAATTCGACCTCAACATCCATAAGCCATCTGGTGTGGATTTCAGCCTTCTCAGATAGGAAACATAAAATGGGTTAGATCTGCCCCAGCTGGTTTGGCTCAATGGATACAGTGTCGGCCTACAGGCCAAAGGATCCCAGGTTAGATTCCGATCAAAGGCATGTATCTTTGTTGCAGGCTCTGGCCCAGGCCCTGGTCGGGGATCCTGTAGGAGGCAACCCATTGATGTGTTTCTTTCACATTGATGTTTCTCTCTGTATTTCTGTCTCTCGTCCACTCTCCCTAAAAATCAGTGGAAAATATCCTCAGGTGAGGATTAACAACAAAAAAATAAACAAACAAATAAATAAAATGGGTTAGATCCTGCAGCATCTGCTTGCCCAGAAAGCATAAGAACCTCCTTGTTGAAGGCAAATCTGAAACAATAGATCTTAGGCATGGATACTCAAGACTCACCTGTTATACTGATACAGAGACCCCAGGGCTGCATCCCCAAAGACAGGAATCATTCAATTATCATCAAAAATAAGAAACAATTGGTCTTTTTCTGTAACATGGCCTGGTCCCAATATAAACTAGAAGATGGGATCCATGTACATGACACTTCCGGAAATAATGGAGAAGCACACACACACACACACACACACACACACACACACATACTTACAGTGTCTTACCTTGATGGGGAATTGGCAGATCAGAGTTCAATTTCTGTCTCTCCCGTGTAAGGGATGTGCAACTGAACTCTGAAAAATTCCTTAAGACATCGCTGTACATTATTATTGTTTTTCATCCACAGAACATGCTATGATTTAGGCAAACCTAGATGAGATGCAGGAGTACCCATTTTCTAGTTCTTTCTGATGACTGAAAAGGTGTCATTCATCTCTAAACATCGTACCTTTTCTCAGTTTCCTCTCTCAGTGTTGGTTGTTTGCCAAGCTCAGATTCCTATTGCACCCGTTCCTCGGTTCCCATCTTTGACGAAAACTCCATGAAGGCTTCTTGGGTCTTGGGTCTTTCCACTTAAAATCACTTACTTCCTCCTCAGTTCTGCCTCACTGTGGACAATTGAGCTTCTATCTTACCAGGACAAACTTCTCATAATAATTACAGAGCGTGTTCTGTACTCACAGCTATGGGGCTTTTAGATCAGACCACTGTAAGTTTAAACCAAATTGGAATGCTATTTATTAAAGACCATTGATGAAGAATGTTTCAACAATTTGTTTTAGATAAAATGTATTATCTCCATTTTGTTAAATAAAGGAAATAGGTTTGGAGGTGTCATCCTACTGACTATATGACTCAGCTGGTGAATGCTCAATATATGTAGGAAACACAACTATTTCCTTTTAGATAATCCATCAAGTTGGGAAGGGGGTTAAATTGCAATGAGCCCAAAATAGTAGGATTGGGTAAAAAAAATTTGAACTAATGTATCTTTAATATCGAGTGTATTCATGTAAAAACCAGTATATCATGTGATGTATAAATGTGTGTTGACTAAGAAGAAAATAATAAAAATTAACGTCTGGCTATGATAGAATCTCTGTCTTCTACAATCATATAGATTAGAACAATGATTGCGCTGACAATATATGCAACACTATGTGGCCAAATGAGTCACTTTGCTAAGAAACTTTTTACACAAATAAAACAGTACTATAATTGAGGAAAATAAAAATATTATGAAAACTATTTCCTACAAGATACATTCTACAATTATTTTCTCCAGAAAAAAAACAAAACAAAAAACAACAACAAAAGGACATACAAACATCTAAGTCCAGTTTCACAATGTGATACATTTAATTCTAATCCCGGGTAACATGAACCATGATTTTGTTCTCAAATAGAAAGCGGCATTAAAAACCCTCTACCATCAATCCAATGGCTTTCAAATTCAAGGTTACAGCTAGAAAAATAAAAAGCCACCATTCCAGGTTTGGGATGGTGTATGAGATTGTAAGACAAAAAAATAATAAAAAAAAACAAACTACAAATTAATCCCTGGTAATTTAATTGGGTATATGTATATATATAAAGAGGTCTGTGTGTGTATGTTTGTGTGTGTGTGTATACACACACACACACATATATTCAATGCTGATATTCCTGTTTAAATTGTGCATTTATATAGCTTTTATAGCAATGCCCACTGTTACCTTATCTTTTTGACTGACAATAATGGGATTTCAGTCATGCTCAGCCTTTCCTACAGTGCCAGTGATGGGAATTTTTGAAATCTTATTACTGCTTGCACTGCCCTGATCTCAGATGGAACTTTCAATCAAAAAGGCAATCAGAAGGTTATACATTCGTGAGATCCCCTGCAAAGCCCATGATCGCATAATACAACTTGTTGGAAGGGCCCACTTGCCTCCAGTCCTTATGTGGCTATAAAGAGTAATTGGCTACTTAGCTCTCAGCACCCGCATTTCCTTCTCCAAAATGTAGCCCAGCCCAGAACTCCATTGAGACTCAGTGTGAAATCCTGCTGCTCCTAGGAGATTTCTAGGTCTCACGCAGAGACCTGTCTTATTTTAAGCATCTGATTAAACAAACTCTCTCAAAGACACATTTGGCTCTTTCTCCTTTCACTGGTGATGCCAGTGAATCTATGTTTTCTTTTATTTTCTATGCACACAAACACTTACCCACACATTTTTCTCTCAGAACATTTTCATTGTTCATCATCTAGAAATCACAATTCTGTGTAGCAAGGTTAACACCCGAATTTAATTTATAGCATCGTTTAACCATCCGATGATAAATTATTTCTAATCTTAAAATTACTATATTCATCCAAAATTATAGTAAAGAATGGGCCCTTAATACTCTAGACCAGTGGTTCTCAAGCTTTCTAATGCCGTGACCCTCTAATACAGTTCCTCATGTTGTGGTAACCACCAACCATAAAATTATTTTCGTTGCTACTTCATTACGATAATTTTGCTACTGTTATGAATCATATTGTAAATATCTGTGTTTACTGATGGTCTTAGGTGACTCTGCTATCGCTTCTCAATCTGTGGGTAGAGAACCACTGCTCTAGACTGTACATGTATGGGTGGGTGTTTAAAAGATACTTTTGTAATTTTATTTGATCAATTAGTGGACAGGGTGGAGGCTGAATGGATCCATGTGATGTCCAATCACCCAGGGATGCAACATCTCCCCACATAGGTGCCTGGAATTATGAGACAGGTAGAGGGAGATGATTTTGTCTCACTTGGCACCAAGACCTTCCTCCATTTGGTGGAAGAATGGGAAAGGACTAGTGGTTGGGCCCAATAGACACATTAAAATGCCTATGCAACAGAAAGCGCACAGTGACAACAACAGTCACTTGGATAAAGTTAAAAATGAGTATTATTTAAAGAGTTGAGCATGGGGTTCTCAAATTCTAAAAGTTTTGGAACCCTCATGCCCTCTCTTGGTTAAAGAAATCCTGGCAAGTCCACTGATAAGTTAAAAGCAGTTAAGTCTAGGTGTGTGTGTGTGTGTGTGTGTGTGTGTGTGTGTGTGTGTGTGTGTGAGAGAGAGAGAGAGAGAGAGAGAGAGAGAGAGAGCGAGCGCGCAAGAGAGAGAGAGAGAGCGCAAGAGAGAGAAAATGCATGTGTGTTCCTTGGACCTTTATTTAAATTCAGAGTACACTAAAAATATACTTCAGTCCTAGTAATAAACATACTTGATTCCATATTATAAAAACTTAAATGGGTTTATACTTGATTCCATATTATAACAACTTAAATGGGTTTTTAAGCACAACTTGCTAGCATGGTGAGAGCAACAACAAAAAATCAGCAAGAGATCCACACTTTCATGCTGTTTCTATGGGCAAAGTGAATTTTGCAGTAGGCTTTGGGCAACTGGTATACCAGACATTATCTCCTGCTCATGGAAACCATCATATGGTGATTATCCTATTGATTCCTAAGATTGGAGGTATGGATTTTATATTCCTAAAATTAACATGACTTTTGTCAAACAGGTTTATAAATCTGTACTTTATGGCACTTCACTGAGAAATATGCTAGAAATGAGTCCGGTATGCAAGAGATAAATAAAGTAATCATCTCTCCTTGGTTTAGAATGTGTAAGGTAGTCAGAATAGTATTAGTGAATATTATTAGTAATACTACTATTAATAATTTACACTCACTAAATATTTGTGTCAGACACTGTTCCAAATCTTAGTATATTTTGAAATCATTTTGGGCACTCATTTTGATCTCCAAAAACACATTCAACAGCCATCATGATACACGTAAAGGACAAACTAGGTGATTCTCAGGCAACAAAAACTCAGAAAGGCCTTTGTTAAGTCACTGGGAAGTTGTCAAGTCTAAGGATAATATTTAAATATTTTGTTTCTATCATAGTAGAAGTAGCCTCCAAAAATTGGTACCTTCATTGTTCTAGCCCAAGTCATGTTCTTTTCAGGCAGCCCAAGCCAGTGCCTGAGGTGGTGTGATCAAGCCATTTCACATCCTTGGTTCTTTATATAAAAGCTCTTACAGACAAAGGTGATTCTTGCAATAATTTAGTTGCATGTTCTAGAATTCTAGTTAGACTCTCGCAGTAGGTCTTCATCTGATTGGGGAAAAGAAAAGTGAAGACAACAAAGGTATTTATAAAAATATATTTCACAAAGTAGGAAACAATACAGGAGTTTTCTCTGAATACAATACATGGAGTAAATAAACAATATTGCCTTAAAGCAAAGTAGAAAAGTAAAATGATCTGCATGTCGTCGTAGTTCGGTTGTATCATACATTTCTCTACTCCTAAACGGTCAGGTTGGTATTACAAATTGAATATGCTCACATCTGCTAGGGCTGTTGTCTTTTGGACTCTAAGATGTTCTGGGTCTCACCAGGAGGATCGGGGAGAGAAGTGCTGAAAACAGAAGCAGTAAAATTATGTACAAGTCGGGTTCCTGCTCTAAAACATTGTGGGGCGACTTGAAGCATGTCTCCTGGGTCATGTATGTAGGTATCTAAAAGTCTAGAGTTTAAATATTCACACGGATCGATATACTTTCAGATGTTTGTGCTTGTAGTAAAAACACCAAATACTAGGAGTATGAACAAAATAGAAAACAGTCTAAAAGTTTCTCTGGGAAAAAAAGCTGTTCCTGCCATCACCAGTCACAATAACACTTTCTACACTAAAGAGACTATTTGCTCCCTGGTCAAAATATTGCCTGCCATACTCATCTCATCAAAATGTACATGTATTAAACATTCATTGTGTGTGTGTGTGTATATATATATATTTATATAAAACAATCTAAAGGATTATTAATGGATATAATTTATCTTTTTTTTTCTCCATATAGTCCCTTTCCTCTATAGGTTACCAACCTTAATAAATAAACGCATGAATGGACATCAATAAAATATTTATTTTGAGGCTTAAACAAATAAAACCATCTGTCCCTCACATCGTCCATTGCATGACATAGTCTACCTCTGTGTCCTTGTGGAACGAGATGAAGTGGAGGGAAGGAGTAATCCTGCTTCTTAAAAGCAAGCCTGTTCCGTGGGATTTCTCGCCTCCCACCACTGCGCTGGCAAGCCCCACCTTGGAATGGATTCGGGACATGTGACTATTTTAAGGCTCGACACACTATTTAAAGATGCTATTCCGTCTCTGATGGGCGAGGCCAACCGTTATGTACATGTGTGGTCTCTGTACCATCTTAGGAGGCCTTCCCAAACTCCCAAAAGTCAGGATGTACAGCCGACCAAGTATTGCTTTAGCGTATGTGGCGGGATCCTTATTGGTGAAGGGGGGGAAAAACCATTCCCATTTATAAAAATCCTTGCAAGAAGACACATCTCAGCAACAAATTCCTTGAAGGTCCATTTTGTCTAAGAAAGCACCTTTTTAATTTTGATATATATAATTTTCCCCCTCTCTGAAAACTTTCCCTAAGCTTGAGGCAGGATCCCCATCTTTGTGGTGGTCACGTACATAGCAACTATCCAACGACTTCTAGACACTCCACATAGTTTAATTCACACTCCACAAGATGCATCACCTCCTAACATAGACTTTTTTATTATCCATTATTTTTTTTTTGGTTCCACATTAAAATGTAGTTGAAGTTTATAGATGATTGGTGCTACACTTGCCTCTAAAACAAATAGCCGCATTGGCTGCATCTAAGGGGAGTGGCCCTAGCATATTACAGAATGCTCAGTTCCCGTGGATGGAGGGAATCATCCACTGTCAAGTTTCTTTGTCACTTTCACCAACAGAGTACAGTTCGCCCAGTCTCTTAAAGCGGGGTCCCCAGTCACTGAGGTAGTCAAAATTCTGGTCTGAGTCTGAGGTGGCCGACTCCAAGGAGCTGAGGGAGCCCGCCACAGAGCCCCGGCCTTCGTAGCCATAGATCTGAATGGAGTCATAGGGCGGGGCCGTGGGGTCGTTATCTGCCTCGTGGAGCCGCACGTTTATAAACTCATCCACGTCCACACCATTGGGAACCGGCGCCAGCCCTTGCCTTGGCATAAATTGCAAATCTGGTTTAATATCCTTACGGGGTAGGAATCCATTAATCCCATCCGGGTTCTGCAGAGTGGCAATGTCAAAGGCCTCCGTGTCCTCCTCCCCGCCTCCTTCGTCGTCGTAGCGAATTATGTTCTCTCGGACATCTTCATCGTCTTTGATGATCAATGGCTCGTTTTTGTGTCGCCGCAGGGTGACAAACAGCACCACGATGACTGTAGGAAAAACAAAACAATGAAACAAAACATGAAATAACAGCCAACTCGAGTATAATGAGCAACACACACACCTTGTAGGCTCAGAGGGAAGATCATTATTCTAAAACTAATGGGCCTATGGTTTTGATAATATTGCCTTGTGAATTACGCAAAACACCTTTATGAAGGATGGGCTCTCAATCCTGAGAGAATGCTGTTTGATTTTAATATTAAGAAAAAGATCTCAGGAAGACAATGCCATCTTGAAGAAAAAAATATATATATTCTATTTTTTTGTCTGCTTATTTTTTTTCTTTTTATCTCACCAAACTTTGTGATCAGATGGACTCAGCAACCCAATTTATAAACTGTTTGGATAACAGAATGTTTGGGACACATATTTGTTGCAGCAAATGGGTGTGCATTAGATCTGGAGGTCTTCTTTATAATAGACTAGTGGCCTGGTGCACAAAATTCATGCACGGGATGGGAGGGTGTCCCTCAGCCTGGCCTGCACCCTCTCCAATTTGGGATCCCTCGGGGGATGTCTGACTGCTGGTTTAGGCTGGATCCCTCAGTTGGACATCCCTCTCACAATCCGAGACTGCTGTCTCCTACCCACTCACCTGTCTGTCTAATTGCCCCCAACTGCCCTCCCCTGCTGGCCTGATCTTGCCCCTAACTGCTTCCTCCCCTTCCAGCCTGATATCCCCTAACCGTCTCTGCCCAGCTCCCGCCGCCGTGGCTTTGTCTGGAAGGAAGTAGGATGTCTGGAAGATGTCTGGTCAACCTGGTCTAATTAGCATATTACCCTTTTATTAGTATAGATGCTTTTATAACCACATAAGGCCCATTCCCAGTTCCCTCACCATTCAGCTTAGTCTATATTTTCACTGGTGATGGCACTGAAAAAGACCCTAAATAGTCATCTCCAATTGGACATTTACTATTTTTTTTTACCATTGATTTTTGGAGTTGAAAGGGACAGAGACAGAGAGAGAAACATCAATGTGAGAGAGACACATCAATTGATTGCCTCCCACATGCCTGGACAGGGCCAACTGACTAGGGTCAAACATTTACCATCACAACCCTTTTTCTCCTCACCTCCTCTTAGTGATCTCAGAGCCAGGAGAAGTCCAAAAGACTTCCTCTTTCCAAAAGCATGCTAGATACCTGGCTTGGTCAGGGTTTGCTGTCCTTATGTACAGTCATTGATGAACCAGAAAAATGGGTACCATGAGGCTATGAAGGAAATACATACCTAGCAGCAAAATGATGCACGCTAATATGGCGATTAGGGCGCCCATACTGAGTCCAATTGGAAGGACGTAAGCTTCCACATTGCAGGACTGGACAACACCATCACTGCTGCAGCCACACACCCGGATGGTCAGCGTGCTGGTGCTGCTCAGAGGAGGGTTCCCACTGTCACTGATGACAATTGGCAGAAGGTAGACTTCTTGCTTCTGGCGGTTGAATCCATTATGCTTGGCCAAAATGCTGAGGGAATTATCTGGAAAAGGTGGAAATCACAATCGTGTGCATCATTTAAAAAATGGCTGCCCAGGCAACACTTGTTTTTCTAGTTCATAAATCCTCTGCGAGCCTCCAGGCTACCCGACTCCACTGGACCACTCAGGTTCTTTGTCCCTCTCCTCTTCCAATTTTTTAAAGTATGTTTTCTTAAATTGATTTTTATTTATTTTTATTTTTATTTATTTATTTATTTTTTAAATATTTTTATTGATTTTGTACAGAGAGGAAGGGAGAGAGATAGAAAGCTAGAAACATCGATGAGAGAGTGTCATCGATCAGCTGCCTCTTGCACACCCCCTACTGGGGATATGCCCGCAACCAAGGTACATTCCCTTGACCGGAATCGAACCCGGGTCTTTTCAGTCCCCAAGCCGACGCTCTATCCATTGAGCCAAACCGGTCTTGGCTAAATTGATTTTTAGATAGAGAAGAAAGGAGAGGGAAAGAGAGAAAGACATAGATGATAGTGATACATCAATCAGTTGCCTCCTGCACGCTCCCTTCTGGAGATCAAGCCCAGAACCCGGGCATGTACCCTGACTGGGAATCAAACCTGGGACTTCCTGGTCCATGGGAAGATGCTCAACCCACTGAGCAATACCAGCTAGGCCTCTTCCCATTTTCCCAACTGGCGTGGACCACAATATCCATACCCAAACAAGTCCAAAGAATGGGGCCCCATGATAAACTAATGGAATTTTATCATCATCTTGTAGATGCAAACTATTTCTTTAATTTAAGAAAAAGTGTCCTTGTAGAAGATACAAATTATCCAAAGTCCCACCAATAAGCTTAATTTTCTCTCATTTATCCTGCCTGACAATGCAAAATTGGCGGGACAGAATCTCACCACAGTTGAAAGACATGTTTGAGAAGTTCTGGGTTAAAAATAGACTATGTGGCACTATGGCATACAAAAGAATGCAATTTATTGACTCTCACAGGTAACTAAGAGGTTGTGCATGCTCGAGCATTTAACATGGTCAAGTCCTATGTACTGCCAATTGGAGGAGATGGGCCACATATATTTAAAATGTGTAGAGAAGACCTGCAGTGATTACACAGGTAAGAATAAAATGAAAAGTCATAGGAAAAAGTGTTCCATTTCACATGTGTCAATTATCTGGAGATCCATATTGGTTATCTGAGTCAACACTTAAGGACATGTAGGCAACATTTAAAGACATCAGTTCAAAATAAAACTGGTCAATGAATAGGAATTGGTCCTACAGTTCTCAAAATTTCACCCCCGATATTTTTTTTGTCTTCATCCCTATCTCATGAACTATAATCATATTAGATATATTCGTTATTAATATATTTTCTCATTTTGACTAATGGAAGAACTATCTATTCAAATTAGGAATACTAATTATCTCAGACTGGTTTTCCCGTCAAAAGCAAATGAACTTAATTTTGGTAAATGTGTGCTGTGTTTTCTGGGTAAAATGATGATTTCAGTTGGAATTTCTTTTCAAATATTGGCAAGTTTGGAAACATTTGGCTACCTCATTGTTGCATATTAAGGCAGGGATTCCAAACCATTGCTGTCCAACTCCTGGTCATCAGTGTCGTATTGTTTACAGAACAATCAAATGCATGAACAAATAGTGCATGCATATGACTTCAAGTAACTATGTTAAATCTTTTGTACCACATAGTTCTATAACCAGATTCCAAAAAATGAGAGCCATTCCCTAAAACAGATGCATTAATTACACTTATTTTTTCTTTGTTTAGCAGGGGTGGGGAACCTTTTTGCTGCCAAGGGCCATTTGGACCATAATATCATTTGCAGGCCATATAGAATTCAAATTCTCATCTTAAAAATTAGCATGCTATATTTAGTCAAGCATTTCACTAATTCACCCCTAATGCCTTGGCAGGGCCTAACCAAATGATTTCAAGGGCTTTATGTGGCCCAGATGTTTCCTGTCCCCGATTTAAGCAGGCCCATAATGCCTTACTATTAAGCAGTCAGACAGAAAAAGACATTCTTAGTTAACTTTTTCCCCCTAAATTTCTTCTGGTTGTGCTTCATTGTCTAGTAATTTTAAGAGCCAAAAAACCCTACAATGTCTCTAATGGAGTTAAACAGTGATATAGAAAATGATCCAGTAATCTTCATTTCCATGACCTAGAAGGAAGTACCACTAAGCTAAAAGCAGGAGAGCATTATCTCACAGCCGGATATACACTGAGTGGCCAGATTCTTATGATCTCTGAACGCATAATAATCTGGCCACTCAGTGTATATCCTATATAATAAAACGCTAATATGCAAATCGTCCCCTCAACCAGGAGTTTGACCAACAGGCAAGCAGGCCAACTGCCCATGTCCCCTCCCCCTGGCCAGGCTGGCTGGACCCCATCCATGCATGAATTCATGTACTGGTCCTCTAATATATATATGGCCAGATTATTATGCATTCAGAAATCATAAGAATCTGGCCACTCAGTGTAGAATATAGAGCTGTGTGAAATTTTCAGAAAGTGTGTGACAAGTCTGACTCCAGTTAATTAGTGCAAGGAACATTAGTAGATGGTTTCATATACCATTGTTCAAAACAGAAGATGGGAATTGCTCTTCAAGATGCAATTAATGAAATTACAAGGAGGCCTTTCTCCTTTTGCGGTTGACATTATTTATATAAGAAACCATCTTTATATATTCTCTCTCTAAAACAATCTATAATGAAATTTAGAAAGTGCAGCAGGAATATTATTCTTGCAAAGCCAAAGGCCTATCCTTTATTGCATAGAAAAAAACATTGGTAGGTCTAACACTAAGCTCACAATCATATAATTTACTACTTCTGACATTTGTTCCCCTACATATAGAAAATTATTGACTGCTTAAAGGTAGTCTATGAGTCATTTTTACTAAATTTTACCTGCTACTCCCAGGCAATGACAATTTCTTATTTGCCAACTCACTTAAAAAAAAAAAAAAAAAGTTATTTTGGTCCTAGCCAGTTTTTCTCAGTGGATAGAGCATCAGCCTGTGGAACAAAGGGTCCTGAGTTTGATTCTAGTCAAGGGCATATGCCCAGGTTGTGGGCTCGATTTCCAGTAGGGGGTGTGCAGGAGGCAGCCTAACAATGATTCTTTCTCACCACTGAGAAAGAATCTTTCTCCCTTCCTTTCTGAAATCAATAAAAATATATAAAAAATAAATATATTTTTAAAAAATCATTTTTACTCTAGTTGGTTTGGCTCAGTGGATAGAGCATGGGTCCCGTGAACTGAAGAGTTCCAGGTTCAATTCGAGTCAAGGGTATACACCTTGGTTGCAGACTCAATCCCCAGCCATGGTTAGGGTACATGCAGGAAAACAACCAATAGTTGTGTCTCTCACATCAATGTTTCTGTTTCTTCCTCTCCTTTACTCTTTAAAAATCAATGGGGAAATATCCTCAGGTGAGGATTAATAGCAACAACAACACAATTATTTTCCCTGGCCAATGTGGCTCAGTTGGTTGAGTGTTGTCTCTGTTGACTGGTGCCATTCCCAGTCAGGACACATACCCTGGTTTCAGGCTCTATCCCCAGTAGGGGGTGTGCAGAAAACAGCCAGCCAACATATCTCTCTCTCTCTCTCTCTCTCTCTCTCTCTCTCTCTCTCTCTCTCTCTCTCTCTCTCTCTCCCCCTCCCTCCCTTCCTCCCTTCCTCTCTCTCTAAAAATCAACAAAAACAGTTTTTATAAAAATCATTTTGATTGGTGTTTATATTTATTAATAATTGTGTTAAGTTATTTTATTAGACCAAATAAAGCTGCCATTAACATAAAAACTCCATACACATAAAAATCATCGTGTATCAGCACATTTCTAATTCGTGTATTTAAAATACTTCTTTTTAAATCTACATACCAGAAATATCTTCTATGAAGTTCTGGTTTGTTTCTTTAAAACATCCTCTTAGGGACTCTCTGTTATGACATAATGCTCTGTTTTTCTAATGGTGCATTGATACCATGCTTTTTATGTATATAAACTTGATAATGAACTTGGATGTTTTCCACTAACGTGTTCTTCAAGAGCATCTTGGCTATTCTTGCTCGTTTACTAATCTCTAACAAATATAGAATCCGATTACCAAGTTTTGTGAAAATCCCCATAAGAACTTAAGTCAGAATCATATTACAATATAAATGAATTTTGAGAGAATTGATTTCTTTATGGTCTTTAGCCTTCTATATTAAGATTGTAGTTTTATTATTTTCTTTAATATACATCAACACAATGTTTTAATTTTAGCTGCAGGAGATTTTTACCTCTTCCGTTAGATTTATTATTGGTGTGTACAATTTTTTGCTCTGGTAAATATAACCTGTTTAAAATTATATTTTCAAGTCATTGTTGCTGGTGTATGAAATGAAATTGTTTTAGACATCGATTTTAATTCCGGTAATCTTCTAAACCGTTCTTTTAACTTATAAAAATATCTCTCCTCACAAAGTTCCACTTCAGCACGATAGTTTGAGGAGCACTACGAATTGTTCCCCAGTGAAACTGGTGAACATTATAAAAGGAAAACATGTATCATCTCAGGAAATGTTCCTGAGGCCAGCAGCAAATGAAGAAACATTTACTCAAGGAAATCCACCAGCACTTGGTAAGAATGGGGAGACTGGTGTGTGAGTCAGAACCCACTTCTTCATCCCTCCTTCCAGCTCTGTTAGATTGAAACTTCACTCCAAACCAAGTCAGCCAAGATCCCAGGGCTTCCCCTCCTCCCAGCTAGCAGTTGGAGGGCTAGCTCTTTTAAAATATATTTTTACTGATTTCAGAGAGCAAGGGAGGGGAGAGAGATAGAAACACCAATGATGAGAGAGAATCATTGAGCAGCTGCCTCCTGCACATGCCCTACTGAGGACCAAGCCCGCAACCCGGGCATGTCCCCTGACCAGGAATCAAACTGTGATTTCCTGGTTCATGGGTGGATGCTCAACCATTGAATCACACCAGCCTGGC